TAGCTTCGTACCTTTCTTTCCACAATAGATAAACTGTCCAGTGTACATTCCTTCAGTAGCTACAAACAGTTCCTTACGTAGCTTATACCTGTAGGGATCTCGGAACACAACAACAGCCAAAGGAGCACCACGTCCAGGGTCGTGGATAATCTCTTTCACAACACCTTTGATATAACCATGACGTTCTGCATAGTCCTGTACTCTTAGATTTGCTGCTCCTTTTCTGTGTTTAGTGTGTGATGTGAAAATGCTGCCAGCACCTTTACGCTGGCCACGGATTACACGTCCCATATTTACTGTCAAATTAGAAAATATATCAAATTGCTAGTCAATTTAAGATAAGATATTTATTCATTCTCTTAAACCCATTATAAATATAGTCTTTGTAAAATAGGACATAGAATGTAAGGATGATATGTCTTAGATGAAAGAAAAATCAATAAAATTGCCGCGCAATGGTTGAAATTRTGAACGCAATCAAAGGGTAGATATTTATTCCTTATAACAATAATATCAAAAAGGACTGATGGCACGAATGAGTAACGAATATTGTTCGATGAAAATCATTGAGATACACACTCTTACCAATATGGCCACGGTTGACGAAGAGGGAGAACGGGAGAACTCTCAGTACCAGGAGCCCTCGGTCAGGACCATTATTGGTAAATGGTCTTATGGAGRGTYYTTATTTAGGACCAAAATAAAGTACTCGAAGCTTTAGCATTTAAAAGCCAAAATCATCATTTCTGTCGATATATTCTAATACATTCTGTCTTCTTCTTGCTTTTATTTCAATTTSGTCCTCAAATTTTACAGAACATGCTCTTATCCAAYAGCTAAAATGACCGTTCAGCAGCAGCCACTGCAAACACCAAATCAATATAGACCCAGTGATCACGTGACCTTTGCTAAATCAATATGGCGGCGTGGAATGAAAGGTTTTATTRAGACATTCGTAATCTAACTTATATACGCAAACCTGAAAAAGATTACCGGCTTTTAAAGATTKTATCATGATGAACAAATCGTGAGGACGTTTAGTGATCGTGTGTATTTTGCGACAATTKAGCTTGTATGTAAGYTTAGATGGTGTTCTATCCTTTGTTGGTTTGGATAAGAATAAGAAATAGCCATTAGTTACTAAGTATGGTAGAGCAACCATGTCTATGACTAGCGATGAAGTGAATTATTTAGTTTACCGTTATCTTCAAGAATCAGGTAAAATCTACATACAAGGTTTTGATTGTGGTTGTACTCACATTATTGGCATTAATGCTCTTTTGTAAATATCATCAGGTTTTCAACATTCAGCTTTTACATTTGGCATTGAAAGTCACGTCGACCAATCTAATATCAATGGGTCAGTTGTTCCACCAGGAGCTCTAGTGTCGGTTTTGCAGAAAGGGGTCCAGTATGTAGAGTCTGAAGCAACTTTAACTGAGGTATTACTGTAACTTTTTTATTCTTACCTTATACATCAAAGACTGCCTTGTAATATTAAGAGTTATAAATTTGTGATATATTACAGGTACTTACAAAAATGTACACAGTAACAAAACAAATTGATGGATTGCATCATTCAGGGGTCATGAAGGGTGGTTAGTTATTCTCTCMACAGATATTGCATGGATTTTATCTGAAGATTTATTCAGTGCATGTGCTATTAGACTTGACGCAAGCCAGACTCTCTTTGGACTCTCAAAGAAAGAAGGCTAGTAAACTGAGCATGAAATGCCAGAAAGAAAAAGTAAGCACAGAGGACGAGAGTCCCGAGAGGATAAAAGGGACTCTGTGAAAGTCTATTGCACTAGTCACCCTTCATTCAAAAGTCAATCTAAGATGTTGGATTATTTAAGACATCAATAGTTTGGCAAATATAAGTTATGTGAGAAAAGTCTTACCAGTTGAACCAACTTTAGTTGTACAGTTAGTGGTTTTRTAGCAGACCAATCAGAGCCAAGCTGTATGTATCGAATAATTGAACAATGTATTTGACCCCATAATACAAATTAGAGGTTGGCGATAACTTCTTATTCTWCTAATAAGTTCATATTGCATTTATTTAGGAAGGTGCAGTTTTAGATGACAGTGAACTAGACCAGTTATCTCTAATCGATGCAGTTCTGCCAGATATTATTAGTCTAAGACACTCCTTAGCTGGAAGTAAAATTATAAAGTCAGACCTTCCATTTAAAAATGATGCAATGAGTGACGAAGGTTACCATATCAACTCAATATCAGCTGATAATATTGAATACAATGGTGTTGCTACCGATGCTGGCAGTCATAAGATTTTAAAAGGACATGATTCAGAGGTGATTATCATATAGTGATTATTTGTGATTTATTGTTGGATAGCACTTTCACACACACACACAAAACAGACAAACAGACAAAAAACAAAACAATCAAAACAACAACAACAACAACAACAACAACAAACCAAAACCAAATAAAAATCAAGCCGCCAATGGCGACACAACTCGAAGATTTTCAGACAATACATCTGGACATAAGTCTGTATAAAGCCTCTTACAAAGGATAAAGTTTATATGAATCGATGAGCATTAAATCACTAATCGACGTGGATCGGAATAATCCTTGAAATCATCGTAATAGCAATGCTGTATTTATGAGCCATATTCACACGATATCTCCTAAAACGACTTCTGAAATCAACAGATTCTTAT